AGGGGCAGGGGGAGAGGATTGTGTGTAGATATAGACTTCTCAGCAGAGTCATAACCAAGAATCCTGGCACATGGGGCAAATTCAATTTTGCAAGGAGTGGGTAGGGTACTGTGGACCATCCCCTAAAGAGTCTGGCCCATGACTCAATGAAGAGTAGTGGGGAAGGCAACTGGGTTCAAGAAAAGATAATCCAACTGTGGGTAAAGTAGTAGTAGTTCTCATCCAGTTAACCCCAAACCCTGCTTCCTTGCCCTCTCCTAGACCCTACCATCCTTTTACCATTTTCTCCCACTCCCAATGCCTGTGGGGTGTGGCTCATTCAAGGACTCTAAGGTACAAAGCTTAGAGATGGCAGCCTCTGGACCTCAGTGGGGAGGAAGCACTCTTGCTTAGATGTTGGCACTTTGGGCAAAGTCCTGGACACCTTGCCCTAGTAGCCGTTCTATTTCTTGGTGTGGAGTCAGGTACCCAGGCATAACTCCCAGAACAAGAAAAGACCATATTTTGGGGAACAACTCTAGAAAGACTTATCCCTAAAGCTGGATTTTGAAGCTATCCATGTACTTGTATTTCTTGATTTGTAAATAGGCTTTCTTTATGTAATCAGTTGGCCCCTAAGAATGTGGACTGATTAGACTTAGGGTGGAGGACAAAATGGATGACCTTAAACAGGGTCCATCAACTTGTGTTTTTAAATTTTTTTTGTAATGGTATTTTAATATCATTGATTTCCTCTGTAATCCTATGCATTTATTCTATGCATTTAAGAATGTTAGTATGAGAAAGGGTCGATAGGCTTCCCCAGACTTGCCAAAGGGGACCACGACTCAAAGATTAAGGACTCCTGACTTCTAACTCTTAGGTTCTATATTTTTAGGTAACAGAACCAGACCTCTGGATTCCTTCCCTTTCTAAGCCTACTATTCTGGATCCTAGTCCTTGTGCTTCCTCAGGATGAAGTGAAGGAGTCAAGGCTTGGTTGAGACTCTAGCCCAGGTGTGGGGAACTTTGTAGCCTTGAGGGCACATGTGGCCTTCTAGGTCCTTAGGTTTAGCCCTTTGACTGAGTCCAAGTTTTACAGAACATCTTTTTATTAAGGGGATTTGTTCCATGAAGTTTAGATTCAGTCAAAGGGCCACACTTGAGGAACTAGAGGGCCACATGTGGCCTCAAGGCCACAGGTTCCCCACCTCTGCTCTAGCTTGTGTAGTTAGTCACTATAGGGATCCACTCCAATTTCTTCTGGCTTTGACCTGAGGCCAACAAGGGCGGGAAGAGAAAAGTAGAAAAAGAAGCAAGTACCTGTAGATTTCCCCTGAAATGGAGGTCAGCGGTTTGGGGTGAGAGTCGAGAAAGGGACCATCATAAGTCCAGTTCCAGTGAAGCAGTTCAGGATAAGTCTCAATATTTACCTTCAAGTCCAAATTTTCCCCAACAGCCATTGCTAGCTGGAGGCTTTGCTCAGAGGATAGGTTCATGTACCCCTGTTCTGAAAAAGAGAACATATCAAGGTATAACATTGATGAAGAGATCTTTTAATTCATTCATTCATCTGATAGTCATGTATTCAATTCATTCATCTACTTAACAAACATTTATTAAATGCTACTACATGCAGAGGACTGGAATAGGCTCTAGGTGTGACACAAAGATAAATAAGACATGGTTCCTACCTTAATGAAGCTCATACTTTAATATTTATTAAATTAATTGCACTACCTTCAAGACATTTAGGCAAGCCTTGCCTCTTCCTGGCAGTACTCTTTCCCACCCCTTAAATCTTGTCTCTTGCCTGTTTTCCTTCCATTATCCTTTTTTATGATTTTTTAAGGCAAATACTGAAACTTAAGTACAAAATAAGAAAATAAAAAAGAAACAAACTTAAATATAAAATAAGAAAAGAAAAAAAATGTCATGTGCACAGCAGAACATAAGAGAGGATTCAGAATCCTTCTGTTATCCTTGAGGCCAGCCTTGACCTGGTTCCATCCAGCACAGGTTGCCTATTTTCCTTAAAATGCCTCTTTCACCATTTTTTCTCCCAGAGCTCCCTAGTGACCAGCACACCATCCAGGAAACCCAAGGCCCCACACCATCCCACAGTTGAATACTATGTTCAGATTTCCTTACCTACTACCTTTAGAACTGCGAAAGAAATGCTGGAGCCCATATGGTTGGAAGCCTTACAGAAATAGGTGCCACCATCCTCTGGGCTCACAGCTGTGATGGTGAAGTTGATGGTACCTTGATAGTTGTCATCAATAAACTTATATTGGTATTTTCCCAGGGAAGTGTTCTGCAGGTAGAATGAAGAGCTGATGAAAACCCCAGCCATTGGTGGGTTCTTAAAAGCATATCCAGAGGGATGAACTAATACAGATTTGTTGAATTTATAAAGTTGGGGAAACTGGCAACCCACTTTCTGATTCAACATACTACATTTTGAGTAGAGATCACTACTCTCTTTGTGTCTCTGCTCTTTTTCAGATTAAATTAGTTTATTCATTTATTATCATCACTCTCATTAATAATAATTAAAGAGGCAGGTAGAAGACAAAAGGCCCACTCTGGACTCAGAAAGGCCCGGGATCAAGAGTGACCTCTTGGCACAGACTTGACTTTGATTTTGGACATGTCACTAAATTAGAAGTGCTCTGGACAACTCTCTGAAAGCAAGGAGTCACTCATCTATATCCCCACCACATGTTTCCCATGTAGCGAAATACAGATCACTGCTGCATCCTCCATCACCAAGAATTAGTTACAGTATTAACTTAAAATCACATAGTGCTTTAAGGTTTACAAAGTACTTTCCTTAGAAAAACTCGATTGTAAATAGCGCCAGTTTTATTATCTTTGTTTTGCAGATAAAGAAACTAAGATTTTGAAGGTGAAACCAAACAGCTGACTTCTACAAGGGGTCACTGCCCCTGTCCCCCAGGTTGCAGTATAAGCATATTTCTAATATGTCTAGGCAGTGAGTCAGTTTTCAGGGGTTCAAGTTCCCCTCTTCCTCCATGCTCCATCAATCATTTTTTAGTCACATATTACTCTTTGTGACCCCATTTGGAGTTTTCTTGGCAGAGATACTGGAGTAGTTTGCCATTTCCTTCTCCAGCTCATTTTACAGATGAGGAAACTGAGGCAAACAGGATGAAGGGACTTACCTAGGGTCACATAACTGGTGAGTATCTGAGGCCAGATCTAATAAATCTTCAGGCCCAGCACCCTATCCACTAGCTGCCCTAAGTTCCTATCCCCCACACTCAATTCTCTGAAGATTTTGTGAAGAATAATAGCTAATATTTATATAGTGCTCTAAGGTTTGCAAAGAGCTTTACAAACACTCTCTCATTTTATTCTCTTAACAATTCTTGGAGGTAGGTGATATTCTTTTTATAGCCAAGGAAACCTAGGTTTCCTAGATGAAGGAATTTGTCCAGGGTCCCATACTTCCAGTAGCTGTCTGAGGCTAGATTTGAGCTCAGGTCTTTTTGACTCCAGGTCCAGTGTTCTATCCACTGAACCATCTAACTGCTTTTTTTTTTCTTGGAAAAAAGAAGAGAGGAAAGAACACAAACCTGGGAATCAGGGGATACTCTGTCACTAATTTATCATGAACCTATGACATTCTCCATTCTCCATTCTAAGGACTCTTCTAGAGCTAATGATCTAACCCTTCATATTACTCCCAAGGGAGAATAACTTAAATAAAAATCCCTAAAGATAGATGAGCCACATTTGAGGGTGATGAAACTTGAATGACTCATGGTAACCAGAATTTGGGGGAATGTCCTTCTCCTAGAAACAGTTAAATACTAAGTCCTTCCAAAGAGTCACACCACAGGGTTAGATGGACCAGTGGTCTAACCCCAGGGGATTTTATACCTTTAACAGATCTTCATTTATTAAAAGTTTCTTAAGTGCCTACTGTGTACGAAATTACTACTAAGTACCTACTGTGTGCACTGTTAGGTATTGAGAAAGATGGAAAGTTTTATACAACCTATATTTCTTGTCCTTATGGAGCCCATAATCTAATAGGTATGATAAGACACAAAAACAAATAACTATGAAACCTATTACATGGAAAATATACCCATTTAGTCGTATCTAACCATTTGTCACTCTGTCCAAAACTACCCTTCAGAATACGTGGTACTCACCTCCTTCTGCTGGTGTTCAAGGACAATATCAAATCTTGTATCTGGATCAGTTGCTGTGCAGACAATCTGGGCAGATTCCCCTTGAATACGAATTAGCTCAGAAGGTTCTAGCCATAATTTTGGAGGCCCTGAAAGGACTGAAGCCAGCATAAAAGTTAAGATCTTGGGATAAAGCTGAAAGCAACCTTAGCATTAGCATCATCATTTTACGGATGAGGAAACTGAGGCCCAAATAGGGGAATGACTTGTTCAAGGTCACATAACTAGTAAATGGTTGAGCTGGAATTCAAAGCCGGGTCTTCTGATTTCAACTGCAGTATTCAGTGTTCTTTTCACTGTATTGTTTGCTACTAAAGAAGGACCTCAGACCCAGAGGGGAGGAGCTGGTCTGGAGATCCATTAGCATATGTACCAGAAGGTGGCCCAAAAGTTGGTACTATTTGAACCCGTCCCAGGAGGTAAAGTCATAAAGTTGAGGAGAATAATAATAGATAGTATGTATGTACATATGTGTACACACATATACATACACATTATATATGAGTGTATATGTATATATGTGTGTATGTGTGTATATATATATATTTATATGTAGTGCTTTAAGATTTGCAAATATCTTTACAAAATTTTTTTACAAATATCTCATTGGTTCTTACAACAACCCTAGAAAGTAGGTGCTGTTATTATCCTCATTCTACAGCTGAGGAAACTGAGGCAGACCGATTTTATCTGTAACAGATGACTGGGCAGGGTCACACAGCTAGTAAGAGTTTGAAGCTGGATATAAACTGAGGTCTTCCTGACTCCAGGCCAGGTAGTCTATTATCCAATGTACCCACCACCTAACTACTTCTGGATGCTTCTTCAGAAAAGATTCAATAGGACAAGGTCCTCCCTGGGCCCCTTGGGCATATTCTCCATTCCCCCAAGAGTCACCAATTTCCAGTCAGCATCACCAATCACCCCTTACCCTGCCATCTTTGCTCAAGGATCATCTCCCCTGAGTCTTCTGGCCACCAAGTTACCTTTTTCCACAATCAGCTGGATCTTTGAGGATACTCTTCTCTTCCCTTCAACCACAGCTTTACAGAAGTAAGTGTCTCTTTGGATGAACTGGACCTTGCGGATGGTGAAGCCTTTCCAAGGGTCAAAGGTGACACTGCCCTTGACAGGTTTATTATATTTTCTTTCCAGAAATGCTGAAGGCACTGCTGTGGGATCTGTGATCCGACAGGGCAACAGCACATCACTGCCCTCCAAGGCAGTGACCATACTGACGGGGACACTCCAAAGATTTTCTGGATCTGTCCGGAGGAACAACCCAATGAATAGAGTAGAGGGGCGGAGAAGATGAAGATTCAATGCATCAGGAAGATAGCCACGGAAGCCAAGTGTTAATGCAGTGGCAGGCTACAGGGCTGCCCATATGGTCTAAAAGGACCCTGATCTGCTGATTCCCTTCAGATGTCACAGAACACTTTAGTTTACAATGTTAGGCACTCAGCATGTAACAGTGTATGTTAACCCTCTCTGGACTCATATCACTTGCGGGTGCAGGTATGGCGGGGAGTGGTGGTTCAGACCTGTGACTTCACCAGTCTAGGAGTTCTGGGGGTGGAAATGCCGTCTGTTGATACAGATGATCACAACCACAAAGGCACACTTCTAACTTATGCTCAGGCTGTTTTTTATTCTATCCTATGATCTTAACTTCGATGCTGGCTCCAAAGACGTGGCCAGAATCTCTCGAGCTGGTTCAGATACAAGATTGCCCAGATTGTCTGCATAGTTGTTGGCCCTCCTCTGTGATTTATCGTCTCAGAGAGCTGCCTGGGGGGCACAGAGAAGTCAACTTACATGCTCACAGTCACACAGTTAGTACATGTCAGAGACAGGACCTGAAGCCAGGTCTTTCTAACTTAAAGGATGTTCCTCTAGACACTACACCACACAGCTTCTCCCCATCAAATCTTAAGCTAATCAAGTTCAAGGATTTTGTTCTAGTCAAACTTTGTATGTCTGCCAGTGCCCAGCTTAGTGTTCAGCTACTTAATATATATCTATTGTGATATAATTTTTGCTGAAGTCATTATTTCTCCCAAACACCCACCCAAGCATCTCTTTCTCTTTCAGCCAGCCTGGGATTCATAATTATGTTTTGTTCAACTTCATATTCCAAAGGCTACATTTTCTCTCTATCTATCTATAACATCTATTGTTTGTTTTCTGTTAGTTCACCTTGACCTAAGTGCTAGGTCAGAGGCAGGAAGGGATGGAGAACCAAAGGTCTGCAGAGTGAGTGACGAGAAGTGGTCAGCTGAAGAACTACCACTGGATCAGCAGTCAAGTCTACCCTTGAGGCCTTTGGTAATTTCTTCTTCCTAGACCACACCTTTTTCCACCATAGGGAAACTGAGGCACCATGAAAGTTCTGACTAGTGGGTTGAACTTGTTAATCCTACAGAACTTTGGGGGCTCAGAGAGGAAAAGAAATTCTTGTCCTAACCTACCACAAAGAGCCCTTGATGACAATCAATAGTTCTGAGAGTGGTGGGTTAGAGAGGAAACTTGGGGATAACGGAAAAAATAGGATTTGGAAGTCAGAAGAGAGTAATGGGATGGCTTAGAGACCTAATCCTCCTAAACAAAAATGAATCCATTGGTTCGAGGCCAACTCTAGGTGTCCCTTTTGCCAGGCCCATGCTCACCACTGAGTAACACCAACTCCTTTAGCAGTTCTCTGGTAGAACCCACTTCTGGGGAGAACCCAAGGGAGGAGCTAAGGTTAAAGATGTTGGGCTCTTGGGCCCCATACCTTTCACATAGAGGTGCAAGGAGGCAGCAGAGTTGTCTTCATCCAGGTTTTCTGTTTCTTCCTCCAAACATTTATAGGTGCCTGTATGACTAATTGTAGTGCTGATGATAATAAGGGTGTTATTGTTGCCCACGGGTTGCTGAATACAGCCACTGGTGTTGCAGTTCACATCATTGACCCAGTACACACTGGTATTGCCCACACAAAGAAGTGTTACAGTTGATCCTTGTTCCACCACCAGCTCTGGACTTTGGGGCTCAATCATGGGAGCTGCCTGACCTGGAGGCAAGAAGAGAAGCTGTTAGACCTTAAGACAGGGGAAGGGACCCCCAAAGCATCGGGGATGTCCAATCCCCTTGAAAGAGAAGCAATTTGGACTGTTAGAGACAGCACTTCTCTAATAGAATGATCATGTGTTACTTTGCATTACTATTATCTAACTGTATCATGAAATTATGCAATCTTTAGAACCGAAAGGGATCTTAAAGATCATTCAGTACAACACCCTTATTTTATACAAAAAGGAAACTGAGACCAGAGAGGAGGAGGGACTTGCTCAAGCTAAAATGGAGCAAAGTAGGGGATTAAATCTAGGCCTTCTGATATAATAACTCTATGTATGTGGCAAATCCTGTAATCCTGTAGTCCATGAGCTCCATGGTGGGAGAGACCATGTCTTAGCTAAGACCATGTCTCTGTGTTTTCAAGACAGTTTTCTCTTGATCCTTCTCCTACATGCCTGACTACTTCTTAGTTGTTTTTTTGTTTGTTTTTTTAGGTAATTGGGGTTAAGTGACCTGCCCAGGGTCACACAGCTAGTAAGTGTCAAGTGTTTGGCCTGAGGTCAGATTTGAACTCAGGTCCTCCTGACTTCAGGGCCAGTGCTCTATCCATTGCACCACCTAGCTCCTCCCTTTTTTTGCTGGCTCATTATTCATATCACTCTCCCTAACTGCGAGTGCACCCCAAAGCTCTATCCTCTTCTCTACACTCTCTCTATTCCCATAGGTTTAATTATTTTTCTGCAAAAGATTCACAAATCTACATATTCAGCACCACTCTATCTCCTGAACTCCATTACCAACTACCAATTGGACACTTCAACTGAATGCTTCAGAGACATCTCAAACTCCACATGTCCATGTCAGAACTCTTATCTTTCCCTCCTGACCCACCCCTCAATTGAACTTTGCTATTTCTTTTGAGGGCACCACCGTTCTTCCATTCTCTAATGTTCATAATCACAGTATTATCCTAGACTCCTCACTCTTTTTTGCCCACGCACCCCCATATCCTCTCCATATCCAATCAGTTGGAAAATGGTGCTATTTGTATCTCCACACCATCTCTTGCACCTAACCCCTTCTCTCCACTCACACAGCCAACCCTTGAGTTCAGGCCCTCATTACCTCTCATCTAGACTATTGCAATGCCCTCCTAATCATTCTTGCTTCAAGTCTCTCCTCATTCCAATCTACCCTCCACTCTTCCTCAAAGTGATTTTCCACGCTTCCTCAAAGTGATTTTCTTTCAAAAGTTAATTTTTTCAATGTTTTGAACTTAAACACCCAAAAATAGCATTTCCATATACGCATCAAAACATAAAAAGAGGATTGTATAGGAAACTGTAAATTTCCATTTCATACCACTTGCCTGTTTTTAAGAAAAAGTATGTAACTAACTAAGCATGTTACTTTCAAAACTTTCAAAGCTGTCCTGTTTTTCTGTGCTTCCTTCTGACTTCTTTCAGTGCACTTATATGCATTTTACAAAGATGTTTCAATGGCTCCCTTTTCCCTGGCATTACTATTGTTGACCTTACCCCTCTCTCCCATTAAAAAAAATTAAAAAGAAAAAATAGAAAAGGAAAAAAATAGCCCTTGTAACAAATAAGCACAATCAAGCAAAATGAATCCACATGATGTCCTTGTCCAAAATGCATGCTCTTTCTGCGTCATGAATTCATCATCTCTCTGTCAGAAAAGGAATGACATGCTTCACCATCAGTCCTCTGGATTGGTCATGGTTGGTCATGACCATTAACTGTGGTTGGTCAGTTGTTGTCATTGATCAGAGTTCTGATGTCTTTCGAAATTATTTTTTGTTTAAAACGTTGTCTTTGTATGAACTGTTCTCCTAGTTCTGCCCACCTCACTCTGTATCAGTTTATACTACTCAGGATTCACTGAAATAACCTGTTTCATCATTTCTTATATTACAATAATACTCCATTACATTCATATAACACAATTTTCCAGGCATTCCCCCCCACAATTGATAGGCACCCCATTGGATTCTAGTTCTTTTCTTTTTTTTCTCTTTCAATTTTTTCTTCAAGATCAGGAAGTTTGTTTTACCTGAGACTATTCATCGTCCCTGAAATTATCCTCCCCCCAGTCCCACTTATTTCCCTGTTGAATTTAATATATTTCTTTAATAAATTGTGTGTGTGTGTGTGTGTATGAGATCAACCCACCTTTGGCTATTTTAGATAAGTATCAGGTTCATCATACATCTACTCTCTTTGCCCCTTCCTCCATGTTTATATATTCTTTTTTGCCTACCATTAGTATTAAGTCCCACTGTCTTCTCTCTCCTTTCTATACTAGTGTATTCTTTTTACCATCTTTTTTTGTTCCCTACTTAAAATGCTTTGAACATAATGAATCCACCTCTAGGGCCTCTGTTTTTCTTATTTAACTACCTTAAATACTCCTTGAAAACACGAAGAGCATTTGAAAACACTTCAGAACCAAAGTTCTAAGGCACACATTTCTTCTCCCTCTATTAGAATGTTAGCACTACATTACTCTTGATTTGTGTTTATATTTCAAAGTTCCTACTTAGCTTCTGTTTTTTTCTTTCTTTCTTTCTTTCTTTTTTTTTTTTGGCAAGGCAATAGGGTTAAGTGACTTACCCAGGGTTACACAGTTAGTAAGTGTTATGTGTCTGAGGCCAGACTTGAACTCACGTCCTCTTGAATCCAGGGCCAGTGCTCTATCCACTGCACCACCTAGCTGCCCCAAACATTTTTTTTCTTTTCTTTGGTGAGGCAATCGGGGTTAAGTGACTTGCCCAGGGTCACACAGCTAGTAGATGTTAAGTGTCTGAGGCTGGATTTGAACTGAGGTCCTCCTGACTCCAAAGCCAGAGCTTTATCCACTGCGCTACCTACCTGCCCCAGCTTCTGTTTTTTCATCAGAAATGTTTGAAATTCCTATAGTCTATTAAAGATCTATTTATACTCAGCTTTCTAGGGTGTTATTCTTGGTATCTTTTCAGATATGCAATGTATTCCAAGATTTCCTCTCAACTGACATCTCTCCTATAAGCCCTCTTCTTTCCAATCTCACAGCTACCATGCTGGTGCAAGCCTTCATACCTGGGCACTTGCAATGACCTGCTGGCTTGTCTTTCTCTGAAGTCTCTTCCTATTCTAGTCTAGCAACCAAGTGATTTTTCTAAAGCACAAGCCTGCAATTATTTAAATCTGATTTTATTCGTATAAATATATTTTTATTTTTTATTATTATACAAATTATATTTGTATATTTGTTCATATAGTTCCTGGGTTTATTTTGGCATGTATACTCCCAGGTGTTTTGTACTGTCTAGGGTTATTTTAAATGTAATATCTCTTAATATCTCTTCTTATAGAATTTTATTTGTGATATATAGGAACATATATATACATACATACACATATATGTAAAATATTAGTTGTTCATGAGTAGGCAGGGCTAATATAATAAAAATGACAATTTAGCCTAAACTAATTTATATATTCAATGTCATTCCAATTAAATTACCAAAAATTATTTTACTGAGTTAGAAAAAATAATGATAAAATTCATTTGGAAGAACAAAAAATCAAGAATATCAAAGGAACTAATGAAGAAAATGTAAAAAAAGGAGGTTTAGTAGTACCAGATCTTAAACTATATTATAAGGCAGTATTTCTCAAAACTATCTGGTACTAGATAAGAAATAGACAGGTAGATCAGTAGAACAGAGTAGATTAACAATTTACAACAGCAAATTACTATAGTAACCTTGGATTTGACAAGTGTAAAGACTTAAATTTTAGAGATAAGAATTTATTATTTGGTAAAATTTGTGAGGAAGCTAGAAAGCAGTCTGGTAGAAATTGGGCATAGACCAGTATCTTGTACCATTTACCAAGATAAGGTTGGAATGGATACATGACCTAGATATAAAGAGAGATATTACAAGAAAATCTGAAGAACATAGAACATATTATCCATTAGACTTACAGATAGGTGAACAATTTATGAACAAGCAAGAACTAGAGAGCAGTGTGGGGTTTGTAAAATGGATAATTTCAATTGCATCAAATTAAAAAGGTTTTGTACTAATAAAACAAATACAGCCAAGATCAGAAGTAAAGCAGAAAATTGAGGTGCGGGGATTATAGACAGTTTCTCAGATAAAGGTTTCTTATCTCAAATATATAAAGAACTTTGTCAAATCTATAAGAATATGAGTATTCCCCCAATTGATAAATGGTCAAAGGACATGAACAGGCAGTTTTCCGATAAAGAAATTGAAACAATTTATAATCATATAAAAATATTCTAAATCATTATTGATTAGAGAAATGCACATTGAAAACACCTTGAGATACCATTTTACACCTACCAGATAGGCTAAAATGGTTGAAGGAGAAAGTGACAAATGTTGGAGGGGATGTGGAAAACTTGGGACATTAATTCACTGTTGGTGGAATTGTGAACTGATCTAACCATTTTGGAGAGCAATCTGAAATTATGCCCAAAGAGTTATTAAACTGCCTTTTGACCCAGCAATATCACTACTAAGTCTGTTTCCCAAAATGATTAGGGAAAAAGGAAAAGGACCTATATGTTCTAAAATATTTATAGCAGTTTTCTTTGTGGGAGCAAAGAACTGGAAATTGAAGGGATACTCATCAATTAGGCATGGTTGGGGAATGGGGAATTGGGGAATGGCTGAATAAATTATAGTATATGACAGTGATTGAACACTACTATGCTATAAGAAATGATGAGCTCAATGATCTTAGAAAAACATGGATAGACTTGCATGAAATAATGAAGAGTGAAACTAGCAGAACCAAGAGAATGTTGTGTACAGTAACAGCAATATTGTTTTAAGAACAACTTTGACCAAATAATTTTGACTATTATAAATACCTAAATTAACTACAAAGGACCTATGAAAGAAGATGCTATCTGTATCCAGAGAAAGAAATGATAAATAGAAGGATGTGTAGAATGACT